AAAAAAAAAAGATGGGAAGCGCCAGAGGTGCGCCTTAAAATCGTGCAATCCCTGCTGAATAGCGCATTTTTGCACGAATTCAATGTTCTTATCAGTACGGCAAAGAAAGTTTCTTTTTACCCTGATAGCAACAAGAAACTGCCTTCAGCAGTTCGCTTATCGTCGGTACCAGGTTCTACGCCTGTGTACTTCTGATAGTATGCACTATTATCGCAAAATGCAGAACTCAGCACTTTTTAAGAGGAAGGAGAAGTGATTTGAGAGCCTTCACAGACAAATTTACTTCAGTTTGTCTTCAGTTACCTTTCTGAATACATTCTCACTGTCTTTCTCTGTTCTACATTAGCTTATCGCGGCTTTTCAGCTTGGGGACCTAAAGGATATTCCTCGACGTCATCATATTCAGCTTTTTCAGTTCTGATAGGGGCTTCTATGTGAACTCCAAAAAATTAACGAAAAGCTTTGAATGTTCTTATGCAAGCTTAGCAATCTCCATATTATAGGCTCTAGTATTAGATTTTATTGAAGCAATGTACCTTTTTGATTTCAAAAGGCCCATTGTTGTCTTGTTGCGCTATTTCTGACCTAATATTGGATTTGTGAAGATCGGTCAGCTACCAATGATTGAAGACGCTTAATAGCACAAGAACCAGTGTTGGCTTTTTTGCTTTGCAAAAATTTTTTAGGGTACCTTTTTTGCATCTTTAAAATTCTTAGGTAACTATAGAGTAAACTTCTTAAGAGTTTTCTGCCAGGTACAGGACAGTACGCCAATAATAGGACAACAGAAACAGGGCTAGTTGTAAAGGGTAGTCATAGATTGTTTAGACTTTTGTGGTGAAGGAAGGGCTCCGCTTACAGTAAGTGCACCTACTCTATTGTACAGGGTTAGAGATAGCCATCAAGTGGAAACAAAGTGCCACACTTGGCAGCTTCCAGCTTTCTCTCCTGGATGCAAACCTACGATGCCCTCCTAAACGAAATTCCCCGTAATTTCCAATGGAGGTGAAGAGGATCGGGGTCAGTGCTGGACGTGTACCGTCTATGACCTGAACTATGTCTCACTTCGGCGCTCTCGGAGTTGCAAGCGAGTGAGCGCAAGCCTCGCGAACGAGAGCAAACAGTGCGAAAAGTTCGCGATCAAGCGGAAGTGCGATTGTACGACGTAGATATTTACCTTCCCGTTTTTTTTTTCGCAGCAACCAAGTCTCTCCGAAAAATGACCGCCGCGTTGCGCCACGAGCTCGGCAAACAGGTGGCTGGAGCCAACAGGCACTGACCCCGGCCACCTCACCAGGCTGGAGCTCATTCTCATCATCAGACGCCATCCACGATGGTCCGTCTCCACCATCCAAAACCAGGGTGCGAGAGTGCGAGCCTCACATGAATTGAGCTTGGCATTTTGCAGGGATTTCGTACCATTTAGAAGCCGTTAGATTGGATCATCCACCACAATTCGTTTCAATGTACTTTCCATTTGTGAAATTCGGTGACACCTGCACTTTTTACAGCAAGTGTTTTCCACCTCTGCATTGTATTGTTTAGCTTACATTGAAATTCATTCATGTACAGTGCCAGGCTGTTTCAGCCAGCGGCAGTATCTCTCTACTTCCACATATCGGCAGATACTCTCATTCTCATAATTTCATCAGAAACCTCATTTTCTTTTCCAGAACTCAGCTGAAGACCAGCTGAAATGAGCACGATTTGTCCATCGCCAACTACACCAACTTTCGACTTGGCAAAATTTCTTTCTGGTGCTTTACAAATAAAGAGAGATGCACATCTTCTGAGCAGCTTTGGCACTCTTTCAGCTGCTCCTGAAATTCTTCTCAATGTAAGAGCCTCTTTTTAATCACTTCCAATGAGGTTGATTTCACAAAAACATACAAAAAGTACGATTGCTATTTCAGTCAACTTCCATTTCTCCTGTTTCACCCGGCAGTGAGGGAAGAAAGAGGCGTCGCGGTGAGG